TGTGTGTGTGTGAGAGAGAGAGAGAGAGAGAGAGAGAGAGAGAGAGAGAGTCTGTAAGAGTGTGAGTGTAAGTGTGAGTTTTGTGTTTCTGCCCCTGCCATTCCCGCACAAGGTTGTAGCGCTTTAATTCACAAATGGGATCTAACAAAGGTAAAGAGCCAATTTTGACCATATATGCTGTTTATATTGCTTGTAGGTGGGATGAAGTAAACATTTGTTGAGTATTTTAACATATAATTTTTGATTGTGTTGAATTAAAAACCCAAAACTGCAGCGGGTCCACCAGACCCACAAACACTGGCAAAACTGCGTGTCAACATTTTTTTCTTCTCATAATTTCATCTTTTTAATGAGACTTTATTTTTTTTATTCCTAAATGCGTATACACCAATAAAATATTTGATAAAAAATAAATAAATAAAAAATCAAATGACTTAAATACGGAAACTTAAAGTATGTTAATTATAGCAAAAGTGTATGTCATTTTTTATATGAATTAAATCACTAATATATTTTGAATAAAAATTAACGTCGCGTCATTGACCCTTTTTATAATATAAATGACATAACTTTATAGCCTACTAGAAGTGTAGCTAACTGCGCGCCTTAAAAATATTGTAATTAAAATTAAATCTATCAAAATCAATGCTTAAATTCAACGGGAGAAACTATAAGGGAATTATTTGAGAAAAATGGCCGAATTGTGAGAAAGTGGTCAAGACTTGACTGAACGCGCGCTAGGAGGAGAGGAGAGAAAAGACCTCCCCACTCCTCATAATAACCCCATTATAAGGTTCATCAATGATGTAATGAAAGCAAACAGTGTGAAAATTGCCTGTAAACATTTGGATCCGAGTCTCCTAATGAATTCAGTGTCTCTTTTAATCAAAGTGGGCGACCTGTGGGGAGGGGTTTATTGGGCGTGGGGGGGTCCGGTTTCCTCTTAGCGAGCCAGTCAACACCCCAAAACACCTCCTAACCAATGGAAGCGAGTCGCTGGGGACTCACGTGGAAGGGGTGCCCTTAAAAACCTAGCCACTGAGTTCCGCACAAGTTCATTTGTTAGGCTTTATCTGACTTTCCGTTCCCCAATGTGTCTATTTAACCTGCATTACCTCATTTGCGCTTCTGTCTTCTCACAGCATTTTTTCAGCGCTCTACCGTCCAGCGCTTTCGCATTGCATTACCTACGCCGGAACAGAATGCTCTTGCCTTTTCCATCCGGATTCGACTCTACTCGCCACAGCGAACTACCTTTGAACTGATGAAAATTTCAGCTGCTCAATAGACGCGAGGCTGGAGCTGACGCCGCTTCGCTTCTGTCCGTGGTGCTGAAATGCGCGCGCCCTCTAAGTAGGCTACCTTGCGGTTTTACACTAACACTGTTACTTCAGAACAGCCTTTTTAAATAATTTGATAAATAATTCAAAGCTACCATCGATGCGTCTCACGTCTTCGAGAAATACCGGGATTGAAAAAATTAATTAAATTTGCCAGCCGAGAATATATTTAGGCTGTATCGATTTTTTTTGAGGTGTGAGTGAGGAGCTAAATAAAAAAAAAACATTTTTTTTGGAGGCAGGGTCTGTGAGTACTTCATACAGAACCTCCTCAAGAAACCTCCTTTTCCTTTTTAAACTTAAACTAAAAGTCCTCAAGGAAGAAGAACATTTTTTTTCCCAGACGGGATGAATAATTCTCATTTCCGATTCTGCTTTGGATGTTCCTCCTGGATAGATCGCTATTAAATCGAGCGCCATTCACGCAGAACTTGCTTGAATACAGATGATAATCTGAACAGAGGCTTCACGCAAGCAGCAGTGTGGAGATGGAAGCGTCCACCAACGGCTCCAGTTTTGGAATCGACTCCCTGCTATCCCACAGGCCCGGAAGCCCAGTCATCGCGAAGGGGGACAGTTTGGTTGGAGAATGCCGGTCCCCGCTGGAGTTCAGCCCCAGGTCAGACTTAGAGAGCGGTTGTTCTACTCCTCCGTCCCCGCGGCGGGAGTGCGGTGAGGATGCGGCGCAGAGACAGGGTCACCTGCTCGGGCTCGCGTCCCATTTGCAGCTCGGGCCGATCTCCGTTGGATCGCAACCTCGGACTGTCACTTCATCCTTCTTAATAAGAGATATTCTGGCTGACTGTAAACCCTTAGCGGCGTGTGCTCCTTACTCCAGTAACGGCCAGCCGACTCAGGAGGCAGGGAGACTGGCATCTAAAATCGCAGAAGACTTAATTGAAAAGATCCACAGTAACTCATCGTCAGACAGTGAATACAAAGGTAAAAATATCACTTCGCGTTTAGTGATATTTTAAAATAATTTCACATGAACTAGAACTTGACACATTTATATAGCATAGAGTTTAAGCAGGTTGGCTTTCTGACTACCCTATAATTTGGGGATAGAAAATAAAAAATAGAATTATAATGAAACTGCAAAAATTAATTTCATGGCGTTGTTTATAAAGGACAACAGACAATGTGATATGTCAATGATAGATAGATAGATAGATAGATAGATAGATAGAAATAGGCTAATGCACATGGCATAATCATTTTATAATCCAAAACATTTTACAATCAACTCTCGTAAAATACGTTAAATATTTTTAAATCAATAAAGGCATTTGTCGTTAGTGCAAAAATCCTGAAATCTTTGTGACTTCAGTGCAAGAAATATTGCTCATTTTTGTTCACTATTGTACATTTGAACGTGCTTATTAATGCAAAGCTTATTGTTAGGTGCAGGGCAAAGGAAGTTGAACGGATAAACATCATCAGCTAGATTCATTAAGGATTTGTCCAGGTGAAATTACATCTGAGGGGGAAAAAAAAGAGTGAAAGATCGCTTCCTGTGACATAACATTACGTTGATTTTAGGTCAATGACTATTGATAAATTTAGGAATATGCCCTTATTAGATAAGACAATTAATGCTATTTTTTATAACTATTTGTTATTATTATTACAAAGAAAGAAATAGTAGTATTATATGCCTCTATATGCCTCATGACTCTCACATCATGACATTATTAGCTTGGCAAGTCTATAGGCGCGGTGATCAAAATTAATGCTCTCCAAATCAAAGCCATTCCATCTCCAGAGCGCTTGTAAAGTGTGTGCGCCGCTTTGATTTTTTGCCTTTCTACCCCCTTATATTTCAGGGATTTGATGCAATTTGTCCCAGTGCTAATCAGATTTGTAACGCACGGGGTCGGTCCGCTCTTTATTTCGCTCTTATCCCCGGCCCTGTGAAGTTTCTCCGGTTCTCGGTTGAAAGGTTTCCATCCCTTGTGGCTCAATTAGCCGGATTATTGTGCTCCTTGAGAGACGACTCAACTACTCGACTGGCAAGGTCTCTCGCGTCGTGTCCCTCTCTTTCTGGGTTCAGAGAGAAAAGAGTTTGGTTTAGATAGGGAGAGAGGGGTGAATTAAATATCACAACCCTCGTGTATTCACATTCTGAAAATAAAATCTGAAAAATGCATGACAGAATTACAAGCACGCGCGGGACCATCAGAGGATGTGTGGAAACCTTTGACACCAGAACATGTGATAACTTGCCAAAGCAGGGTCTACTGAAACACTTGGGCTAACTAACTCATGCTAATCAGTGCCCTTTCGTTCAATGTGATGTTTCAGTGAAAGAGGAGGGCGAGAGGGAAGAAGCCACGGAAAGCGCGGACCGCCTTCACTGACCATCAGCTCGCCCAGCTGGAGCGCAGTTTTGAGCGTCAGAAGTATCTGAGTGTGCAGGACAGGATGGAGCTGGCAGCCTCTCTCAACCTGACCGACACGCAGGTCAAAACCTGGTACCAGAACACCGCCGCCTCTGCCCCCCCTCTCCGGTGTGTTACCCAGACCGACACCACCACGATGAACGGCACGATTCGGACTCGTTGCAATACATGGCAGCTTTGAACTCCACCATTAAAAAGCTATTTTACTGGTGACAAAATATTCGAGAAATTTTACGAAGCCACAAAAACAAACTGACACACAAAAAGCGATTAGAGACATCTTTAAACTTTATTTATTTATTTTACTTGTGTTTTTTAACTTATGTTTATATATATTTTTTGTTTACCCTAAATGTTAAATCTGGAGAAAACAAATACAGACCGTTATATACTGAACGCAATAATAACGGGACATGATACTACAGGGACATTTCGTTTCACAAATTATTATTATTATTATTATTTTAACTAATCAATATTACAAATGTGAATTGTTGGTGCATCCCTGACGCAAAGAATACTTAAATGGTAGATTCATATTTAATTATCCTGAGATGAAATCCAGGTCATAAATCGTGGGCTTTGTAGTGACCCTCTAAAATGTACAAAGGAAAAGAGGTGTAAATAAGAATATTTTGTTTTATGTTGAAAGACAAATCTCGAATTTTCTCTTTTTGTATCATATTTCCAAGCCTTGCGTTAACAGGTGAGACTGACGTGAGCAGCACATTAAAACCCGACACGTCTCTACAAAATGAAAAAGCAACTTAAATGAAGAAGTGTCACTTTTCTATTTGACAAACAGTTGAATGGTACGGAGTGCTATGCCTAAACAGAACAAGCAGGTGGATTGGACGAGATGGATTATTAATCGATTATCAATCGATTCTTTTTGTGCTGCTTTTTTCGTTTCTATATTCCTGCACAACTGCCAGTAGGATCACTTTGATGTTGACGGGAAAACGCCAAGTCCTCGTTTCAGATCACTTGTGATCAATAAGACGTCTGAAAGGAGATGACATGCAAAGTGTTCGCCCAGGCATTGTGCAATAACTCTGTATAAAGCCGTTGAAATATCTTGTCATTCTTTCTGGTGAAGCTGTATATTGAGAATAATGATTTGTGAAGTAATGATTCTCGTAATTCCAAATGATTTTCGTTCGTGACCCCGTGTGCTTAGCGGTGTGAACTTCTTGAAAACTCTTAAAACTGCTGGATGTGCGGGGGAGGGTGGTCTTTAAGCAAGGAGAATTACTTTTATAAATGTGCTAATAAAGATCTTTCATTAATTTACCACTGACTGAGAATGTGAAGGTAGCCTATACAAATACTGGGTAAATACACACTCGTGTTCTCATAGACAATTCAGTTACACTAAACCAACAGCCAATATAAAAGGTATGCAGGTGCATAATGCGCGTGCCAGACCTGAACATTGACACATTATAAATGTATGAATTAACAAAATTGCTATTGCAAAACTTGCCAATCCTGTACTTTGCAACAAGAACCAGAACTTCATGCAACCAATGCATGATGTGTTACTTTCTGCGACCAATGAGACAATTTTACCTTTTGACAAACATGTAGGCTACTATAAACATTTTTGTTTCGTCCCACTTACTTCGTTTCGAGTAATTTCACGAGAAAAGAATCCACATTGTGAATTTCTGGCAAAGCGATAAGTGGGCCAACACTAAAGTATAATATTATAATTTGTATAATTGAAAAGATAAATGTTATATTTTATTTATTTTGTAAAATAAATAGATCCAACACGGTGTGGTGAAAAAACGAGACGTTAAAATAATGGTTTAGGCCTATTCTCCATAATTGAAACCCAGGCTAAATTGTCTTAAGTATTCGTTTTTAAAAGTTACGAAGGACTAAGTTTCAACACGGAAAAAAAAAGTAAACCAATAAAATACACATCGGCTATTATTTAGGCTACACTGGTTACGCCAAGTCATTGCTTTTAAAACGTATCCAGAAATGTAATGAAAAGTAAAAGTTTGCTTATGAAAATAAACGTAAACAAACGCTGTGATAGCAATATCATAAAATTCGAGCTCACAGAACTCTATAACTGGCAAATGTGTTTGAATAATTTTAAACATGACTGTCAGACACTTTGCTCAAACCCCACACTATTTGGTTAGCATCGTGGATTTAATTTGTCGAACCTACGAAAAAAAAAAGTTAATAAGAATGTCGCACCCAAGGAAGTGAACATTCACCTCCCTAACCTTTCAGAAACGCCCGGAGATTTGGGGACTTAATTCTACCTTCATATTTTAAAGTTTAACGCGACTACCTCTTATTAATAGGTCACACTTTAAATATCATTTTGATCATGAATCATATGAGCCGGTCTCAATACAATTTAAAACGATGTTCATTTTATTGGCAGCACGACAAAAGGGAAATACTGAGAGATTGAACGTTGATTGTTGGGTATGTGATCCCGTTCTCTCTCACGCACACACACTCAACACTTGTCAGCCTCCATTGTCTCGTGTCTACAAGAGTAAAGTGACAGACTTTTTTGCACTCTTAAAACAGCATCATGGATCACTAAGCAAGCGGAGTCATTTCATTTAGTTTTCATAAACAATATGTGGATGAAATATTAATGGTCACCTAAGTGTGTAATTGTTTAAGTGCCCTAAATGATCCCATTTGGAAATGGGTTGTTTTCATACCCTTTCTTGAGAGTGTTGGTTTGCTGCTCTTTGCCAAACGGCCCCAACAGCTGGTCACCGGGCAGTGCTGACTGCGGCTCGGATCAGCAAGGGGACATCTGGTCAGCGGCATGACGGGACCCCCCTTCATCCCCCCTCCGTGAGCCTAGACTGACTTTAACCCAACCATGAGACCGGTCCGTGAAGCTCAGGGTTTAGGGACTGCTCTGACAGGGCGACTGAATGGGATATTAACGAGCAGACAATAGACCTTAATAGCTTTTAATTGAACGTCGATAACGTGATCAGTCGGTCTCCTGCTGCAAACTTTCGCATAGCACATGTCATCCTGCGTCTCATCATTGGGCTCCTGCCATGAATCACTAGAGAGCGAGAAAACATTTTAAGAACGTTTCATAGGCTACATTTATGGCTTGTTATTGATGTGGGGAAATACGCAACAAAAAGTTTTTTTTACAACTATTTTTAAGTACAATTTCAAAGTAATTAATTATTGTTTTGCACAGAATATTGCTAAATTATATTTAAAAAAATAAAAACTAATAATAAAAAGTGGCAATAATGCAAATAAAATAACAATTGCATTATACTCAATAAAATACATTGTTAACCAAGACAGATGAACAGATGCGCACGTAAAAAAAGAAGACATATCAATTCAGATCAAACATTTAAATGATCACATGGATCTGCACATGATCCAAAGGAGGCTGATGACCCCCCCTCAATATTTATGAAAAGGGTTATTCTTGCGAAGTGCGCAGCTGATTGCAAGAAAAGCTCCTCGGTCTTGTTAATAGACGCAGAGATTTTTGCATGTGAAAGGATAGTGGTAAATCCCTCGGCTCTTACCGAGGATTGTCCCCGGCTCAGGGTTAATGAAGTGCGGATAGAGTCTCGCTGATCTCCCGACAAACAAAAACACAACACGGAGAGCTTAGAGCCGCAGGATCAGTGACTCTGATTAAGCTCATTGACTCAGAATAAAAACCAAACAAAACAGCCTTCAGATGAAATTAAGAGTCAATCAAAGTGCAATTTGCATCGTGATTTAGGCGACTGTCTTTTCCCCATGTTTTTCTGACGATTGCCATTTTTTGTCACGTTGCTTTAAATGAAATTCAGTGCAAGGAACAGAAACATCTGCACCTTCATTATGTCCTTTCTCTCTATTTCTTTGCTGGACTTTGAAACAAACCTGCTTCACATTTCATTTAAATGTATTTAAATGTAAAAAAGTAATACAATAAAATGTAATAATAATAATAATAACAGATACATTGGTAGGGTAAAATAGTTATTTACCAAAACAGAGATAAAACATAAATATATATTATCTGAGCAGAGAAATATATGGATAGTTATAGATCTAAAGCTTTAAATTAGAGATGTGGAAAAGGTATGGCCGGAATAATATTAACTTGGTGTTACAATTATAACCTACCTACATAAAGCTTGAAAAAGAAATGTTATTTTCATTCATTTACATTTAAAATTCTAAATCACTTGTACTATTAATCAAAATAATCAGTTTCCTAAAAATCACACTAAATGGGAAATCTTCATCCTAGCGCAGGTGTGGACGGAAATCTGGGAAACTGGGACAGCGATTGGGCAGCGAGATCAGTGCAGCACCTGCTGCAGGGTCACGACACCCGTGACCCCCAGGGGAAGGTGGTTGGGGTGCTGTTGCTGTGTTACCCTACTCACATTTGTCCTCTGCATAAACTTTTTTATTTCCAGCATTTCCCAGAGAGACAAGGGGGAATGCTGGAAAACACTGTTGGAATAAAAAACAAAGTGTAAAAAAAGATCTGAATCAGCAACACACAGACACATTTAGGAAATGGGGGGTACAGCGAAACAATAGAAAGAGACAGAAAGTAGACAGCGAGCGGATCCCAAGGTACTGTCCTGGATGTCAAATCCAATCCTTGCCTGAAGGTATACGAAGGGTGGAGGTATAAAGGCCTCAGAGTGAGGTAGCGAGATAACTCCGCAATCATTCCTCCAATAAAACCCAAAGCATTTCTAAACTTGGGTCAGGGGCAAAAGGATTGACATACCAATCTTGGCAAATAATGAAAACACTCTTCCCGCAGTCCAGCAGAGGAAGAAGCGGGAAAAAGAGCGAACAGTCCACGTGGAAAAGAATAGTGGACATAAAAGGTGCTTGTTGCAGGAATCCCCTGCAGTCAGCAATAACAGTCATGTTCGTCCCGGCAGGGGACAATGTAAAGAACACTGGTATTAGGT